TTTTACTCGTTTTAATAACTGCAGGCCAATGACACTGAAGGATGAATAGAAATTTTAATTAAAAGCTCCTTCATCCGCTTTTTCTCCCATCCTTCTCCCTTTTTCTCCCATCCGCGCGCATTGACTGATTTTAATAATATTCTTTATCGACAGGAAACAATTGTTTGTACAATTACGTTTTACAACTTTACTCGCGCCGCGAGTCTCTTATTTTATTTTATATCCAACATTCAATATATCGGTGTTCACGACTATATTAATTCGATATTATTTTCACAATGATTATTAATGAATTTGATTCATCTTACGATAATATACAAATATACAGAGTGACCTAACAATTGCACAGAGAATATTGTTTCTCGGATGCTAATTGCATTAATAAATCGGATTCATACCTATTTTCTGAACAAATCCGAATCAGCTTCACGTGCAAGTCATAAATTATTACGTTAAAAAATAATTAGCTCTAATATTAATTCTAATATACTCAAACACAGTATTAAACTACGGTCTTTAAAACGTTCCGATAAAATTATTAGAAGAATAAAGGAATTATTCACCGAACGATTACAGTTATTCCAACGTAATAATTTATAATTCACAACGAGAATTGAGATACACGATGCACGTTTTGATTTCAGAATACATTTTTCCTATCATCGGCTGCTAGATCGCTTACACTTCTGTGTTATCTCGAAACTTTTTATAATTCTTACTACTTATTAATGTCTAATAATTATAGCTTCTTCACGTAGAGACCAAAAACTAATTTTCATTCGAGTCATTACCTATTGCATTCATCCGTTTGCGTAGCATACGTTCAATCGACCGATTAGAAGAGACTCGTTTGCGAAAAGCCTGCGAATATATAAGTGCAACGTATTTTTTACTCTAGCCACCAGGAATCCGCGCGGATCACAATGTATTCCAAGCGCAACTAAGTTGTATTGCGTGGGAATTTCTCGTGTTACGCGCGATGCTACACCGTAGAAAAAGTTAACCGCGTTGTGCAAAAATTATCGTTGGCCTTCTTCAAGCTGACACTTGCCTCTTATTATGCGCGGTTGTCTGATCGATTCTCTTTAAAGCCCGCGGCACACGTACGTGTCGAGGTCGGTTCCCGATACCAGCTTGTAAGTTACAGCATGTGTATTTTGGAATGGCCCAGGGAATATGGCTGATTAATTTAAGTTGAACACGAAGATCTGTATCGTTTTAGGTACGAACTTCAATCTACTTCTATTTATCGGTACTTCGCTAATTTGTTTCCAAGATTAATTTCTCTTTAAAATAAAACAAACTTTTGAACGTATATATCTTCTTTCAAGCATGGATATGAACACTTTTATTACTCATTATTGAACACGTAACTCAAGATAGATATAAATAACTTTCAGTTGTTTCATCTATATAAAGAGATATTAAAAGCTGAAAGATTTTTAATTTCTCTAGTCTCTGTGCGCGATAGGATTAGTTATTGTAGTAAAAATAAAAACTCAAATGCTGCAAATTACAGCGCAAACCGCGAGAAATATTGCGGAATTATCGGAAACAGATAACCAAACAATTACGGTGCAATCTGTAACGTATATGATATCAGCGTGCAGTGAAGCATTCACAGCAGCACATACGAAAGGATAAATCAAGAACAAGACACAATGGGTGTACTACGGGCTTAATGATCGTTTCTGCCATTTGGAACCGATCATGCCGAAATATATACAGCGTACGTCGGTAATTCTGCTGCATTATGGTAAGGCATCTCAAGATGGATTCGTGAAAGCTTTTAGAACATCATTAAAGAACGAAAGAACCATTCGATAAAATACAGAATATTTTAGTTTCAACTTTCCTTAAAAATCTTTTTCATTGATTTCGATAAGAAGAGACTGCTCGTAAATAATGTTCGAAACGTATTTAAAGCATCAAGAATTTTCACATTCGGGTCAAAATAATATATGGTGACGACTTACCTCACCGACTCGACGCAAGGTACAGGATTCTCGACAGGAAATGACCAATTCATCCGTTTTCGCACGTGCCACAAACTTCTCAAATTATCTGCCATGCGAAGAACGTCACGTTTGATGTTGCGTATCCGTAGCACGTGTGACGCTTATTCATAAATCTTAAATTAAAATATATGCACGCAAAGTACATTGACCTCGGTGCACATTGTGTTCCTCGCGGGTACATGTATCTCGGCGTATGCTACGTGCAGGATATGAGAAAGAAAATAGGAAAAAAAGAGAAGACACGAAGCCTTCGTAATGGAAAATGTCGAAACGCCGACGAGCACGCTGTCGAACGGATTAAAACGATCGTTATGCAGTTACGAGGTCGATTCTCTTTGTATCGATTAGAATGATGAATGGAATTAATGGTTCATTCTTTTTCTACACCGTATAATTGCAACGTGACAAAAAAAAAGGCTGATGACGTCCCGCGTAATAATGATCGAAATAACGACCGTCGCAAATCTCAATAAAAGTAAATTAATGCACCAGACGTAATTAGAAGAGGTTTGGTCGATTTCATCGGTTAATTCTTCAGCTATAGTTTAATTTACTTTTTGTCCTTCTCTTATTCTTATTCCAAAGAGGACAAATAAATTAGGATCAGATTAAACCTGACTGACATTCAAATATCTAGACTTTGTTATTTTTATATTGTAACAATTATATGTCGATGATCATTGTCATCGAAACTCCTCTATATGAATTCCTCGCGGCAGTCAAGATACATGTTGAAGATTTAGTTACACCTATATCCAAGGAAATAGCGAGAAAATAATGAAAAAAGAAAGCGCGGATACAGAGATTTGTGAAGCGACTCGCGGAGTTTCGAGCAGAAATTTCGGCTATCCGGAAATTAATATCCGCTTTTATCGCCTCCCACACGGTTTCTCTCCACCGTTCCCTTAATCCACGAGCGCGACGGACATCCGGTGGATCTCTGGCGAACACGATAATATGTACATACGACCCGTATTGCAGGTGCTACTCTCCGCATCCGCTGCACGCCGTAATAACGTCGTATGCGAGGTACGTATCGATTTCTCAGCGGAGGGATGACACGCGTGCTGGTCGACGATGCAATGCTTTCCCGCGGTGTGCCAATATAAAATTAACGTTGTGTCACCCCTAAGCGATATTATTCCCCCTATCTAATCGACATTACCTCGTAATTCGCAATTCGTTGTGTTAGCACCTCGCGCGGGCGCGTAACACCGTCGTATCACGGACGGCGGCCGGCATCGCCCCCTCGCAACGCCGATCTTGGATACGACCTGCATCGATCGATCAATGCAGGTCCGAGAAAAAAGGAGGACGCATACCGTGATTGCTCGTGGCATGCGTCTCTCGTGCATCTTACGCGTATAAGTTTCTCGCAATTGTTTAATTCTGTACGAGGCTTGCTCGTATGAATATCTTTGCTTTCACCCTCGGCAAAATTCCACTGAAATTCCATTCGCGTTTACGATAACATCACAATTTCAGGCCAATTGCGCCGACTTCAATCAGTCGTAATCCCAATTGTAATCCTCTGATGCAACATAAATTTCCTATCTTATTTAGAATTTCTGTATAATTAGGATTACAAGTCAACCTTGTAGCTCCTACGGCATAATCTAATCAAGCGAGTCTTACAGAATGAGTAATGGAGTGGAGTGAAGACTAACAGTGATAAACAAGTAGTTTACACGAGATTGAAATCACAGTCGGCTTTGAGCTGTTCTAACGTACTTACAGGGAATTAGAAAAAGCGATCTGTGCAAAGATTCAAATTAAAAAGATTGACAGACTCGAATCAGATCGAACTAATCGTAATTACAGTTTCAAAATTATATAATTTAAGATCTTATTTATATTTAAGATTATTTGTAATTTTTATGCATACAAATATGTGCTTTTATAGATATTTTAGATCAAGTATTTGTAATAATCAAGCGGTTTGTAAAAAAATTTATGATGGCTTGAATAATTTTATATTATAATGAAGCAAAATTTTTCACAAAAAAATAGCAGTTTTTTTTTAGTAAGACGAAACTTCTGGAAATTATTACAAAATCCAGAATGAAATTATCGTGTTTGCGACAAGCAAAATTGTACGAAGCTATGTGCAAAATCTCTACAACCCCTAAAGCGCATCAGAGGATCATGAGGTTTCTGGTCTTCTCTGTTACTAGACGGGACCATAATCCGGAAAGAGATAGCGAATCGTTTGTCCGGGACCAGTTAAGCAGAATCGTCGGTGCGAGCGCGAGTTTTAAGAGCCACTCCGCGGCCTCAACGACCGACATTGTCACCTTCCTCGGTGAGAACATAAAGCTCATTTATGTCGCGTTAATTCTATCACCGCACTCCGAGGACATTCCTGAATTCGGATAACGAATTCGGTGAGGCGGAATCCGCCGTGCGGTTGTCGATGTGGCGAGTTCGCGAAACGGATGAGGATTTCCACAAGCTAATTAGATCCCTCGTCGTCGTTAACGATGATGTCACACTCTTTGTTTCTCATATTCACGAGATGTTCCTAGGATCATTTACACATCACCGTTGTTGCTGTCCTGCAGTCAACCGTGCGAATATTTGGGCAAGCGGTGTGCCATTGTGATCATCTCTCGTGAAATTTTTCCTCTTTCAAGTCTTGTTCCCACGAGGATCGACAGTGATTCGATTTGAATCGCTGTTCCTCTTCGTTTATCTATCATCCTCGATCGTCGTCCGTTATCATGGCTCGTGCCCTCTCCGTCGGACACGAGCGACGGCCTCGTTATCGAACCGTCACAATAATAGCATATGTCATAGTTAATAGGAAATTGTCGTTGATACGTGTCGCGTGTAAATGATGCGTATGTGTTCGCGAGTGTCCGTTTCGGTGGTGGCCTTATTGTTGCCGGCGTTTTGACGTTTCCGTCGAATTCTGTGAGGGAGTCGGTGTGGGGCGTGGTGTCCTTTACGATTGCGCGTCGACGGCTCGTGCGGAAATGCGGCGACGTCGGGATTAAGGAGCGAGCATCTTCGATAGCTCCTCGTCCTGGAGGCAACCCTTCAGGAATTCTTCCTGCGTCAGCTGCCCATCGTTGTTCTCGTCCATCTTCGCGAATATGTTCTTCGCTCTTTCCTCCGCGCTGTCTGCCGGCCTATTGCTCGAACATGCGCCGAGCATGTCGTATATCGCCTGAAAACAGAACATAACACTTTGTTTCTCCACGTTGTATTCAGGCTCACGTAGAATCAATGCATCACCCACTCGTCACACGTTTGGAAAACCAGTCTATTTGGCATATTCGATACAAAGGATAGTTTTGCATCAATACCTTGGAACATTGAAAACGACATCGTTTTCCGATGAAAGAGGAAATGTTCTTTCTTTTCGTTTCATAAAATCATTCTCGTTCCAAAGCACTGATACATTTCCAATTGATGTTCGTAACGATTCGTAAAAGATCTCAAAGTTTAATATAATAAAGTAGATTTATATATATAGTAGAGATGTGCAATCAAGCATTTGTGAGGTCGAATCGAATCGAAACAAATTCTTTGATAACATGTTCGAAAACGAATCGAATTTGAAATTTTTACGTCGAATCGACTCTTACATCGAATCTTTTTGATTCAAAAGCAAATTGAATTTAAATCAAATTTTTCCGGATTTACATTAAAAACTAATTTAAAAATAATAAAGTATTTTCAATAATATTAGATTTTTTATTAAATAAACGAAAAAATAATCATTTTTAATTCACAAGTAATATCAAAAAGTAACCAATATGACAAAAGTGTATTAAAAAGATGTCTTCTAATAAAAAAATAAATATCTTATTTCTGACATTATTGTAATAGGTTGTATTCAGAAGTCAGCCGTTCATCTCAATGATTCATTAATATAATTAGTTTTTGCTTTTAGTTCTTTACTGGATCTAAATGTATAAATCAATCGTAATAAAGAATTATAAGCGGCTTTGTCTTTTCAACGCAGCCAATGGAATCCAATGGTAATCGATGATACACGATGATACATAACTGCACGCACATCTACAAGAATTGGTACCTCCTGACACAAAGATTGGTCGTACAAGTGATATAAAAAAGATATGCATAAATGAAGAAAATAAAATAGGTAATTTATTCAAAATTAAACCATCGATAATTCAAAATTATTCGATTTCGAATTTCTCAAGTCTATTATAATTCAATTCGATTCGATTCAAATTCGAACTATACACCAAACCTCTATTATAGCGTCTTTTTATAAATTAAAAATATTAGTACATTTCGCTAGTTCACAGAAAAATGGTGAATTAAGCAAGATTAATGCACATGCGTGTGCGTCGTGTAACGTCGTGTATACGTAATTTTCATTAAACAGAAACTCTATATCGTATTTAATTATATCACAATATATAACGTATATGCATCATATCCTTCATCAAAGCTCAATAAGATGAAACATACATATTTCAGCGGATATTACATATTTCCAACGCATAAAAAAAATATAGTAACATTTTTTTAAATCGATACGTTTATATGTTTGTTCCTTGTTAAAAATACTATTTTTCTTAAGAAAGATAGTATGCGAAGATAGATAGAGCAGAAGTGTAGATTTATACAAGCATTACAAACGCAATAAAGTCGTAAATCATGAAAACCACGAACACAACCTTGGTGTCACGTTTTTTTCAAACGAGAGTCCGTTCTAAATCCATCAAGATGGAAGGTTACCGAGGCATACAAAAACGGTACCTGATTAATGAGCATTCAATGGCGACCGCCGATGAGTTTTCGTTCTACGTACATAAACTACTAAACTATAAAAATTCCATCCTATTAATTACTTTAACAATACCTTTACATAACAAAAAATATACTTTTTAATAAAAATTTACGAATAAAGATTTAAAATTTAAAAATTACGTACCTCTAGCAAAACTTAGGAATATATTGTACAACAATTTTGTATGTATATAACTTTTAATTTATTCACTTTGTGTAGTTAATTTCATATAAAATCAGTTTTTAAAATATTATTTATTTTAAGTCATATAATTATCTTATAAAAAAATTACCAAATGAGTTTATCCTATTATTATTAAAGTTGGCTGTAAAATTATCTTTAGCAGCGCAAAAAAATAAAAAATTCTTTTTACTCATTGCATCCTGCAATTTTATTATCATGAAATACATAATGCATTTGCAGTGTTCATCGAAAAATTGATAAGTTCAAAACGTATTATTATTTTTCTTATGCATGCGGTGTTTATAGTTGAGCAAATCTCGACTGAGTGATAAATCATGTTGCTCCGAAAATATAATTTATTGCATAGATACTTTTTTTGAGAGCCACTAAAGCGCACCAGTGATTCTTTATTTAGATCTCTTTTCATACTTTTTCCGATTAGTCCCCACTGTAAATCGCTTGGACAGAGATAAATGCGCGAAATTTATTATTTTCTCACCCAGCAGTTAGACGCGAGATAAAGCAGATTAATTTTATCGCAAATTGGTAGACCCATCGATAAAACAGAATTATTTAAACAAAATTAATCCTCTTAGTTTTGCCTACATGATACATACTTATCGAAAAAAATTAATCAATCTTCAAACTATACACGCAGAACCATCTTATAGAAAAAAACATTCAAATATGAATTACATTGTAACGTAAATTTCAAATGTAACATGTATAACAATGACTACTATGTAAATTATGATATTAATATATAATAATTATAATAATTACTTACTACGAGTGTGTTGCTGTATTACTTTCACATAAAAAATTCTATTTTTCTATATTTAGCGATTATATACGGAACTATTGGTAATCAGTTAATTAAATCACTGAAACATGGAATCTTCTAACCTATCTAATTTTATTTTTTAATGTATATGGTATTCAAACTAACGTGCAAATATCAGTATTTTAATATGCAAATATCAGTATTTTAATATAACGCTCAAACTTTTTTCTTTTTCTGTTGAATTTCATTTATCATCATAAAAATGATCAGATTTAATTGATTAAAATTTAGACAAGAGAATATTGAAAGAAAATTGCGTGTAGTTTTTAATCGATATAATCCACCTACTAAATAGACAATTCAAAATTTAATAGTAAAATTCTCAAAAGTGGTTCTTATGTGTAATAAACAAATTTCTTATACGTCATCATGAACGACGTTCAAATGAAAACGACGTTCGAGTGGATGAATACAACAATGGTTGTAGAACGTTTCTATCAAACATCGTGTACAACTGAGTTTCTCAATTACATCGAATTTTGATCAAAGATCTGTAGCTTCATGCTTACAAAATTTAATTAACTTAAGAACTCATTAATTGATTATTGGAGAATATTGTAGTTGTAGTGGTAGCTTTTTGAAGAAAATCATATTCATCACTTAATATGACAGAGCTACTTTCTTTGAATTTTGCTATTAAGGAAGACACCAGGACATCAATGGAGTAATCAACTTATATTTTATATTATAACAATTGCGCACCCCCTCGTGCGCTGACTCTCAGTAGCCTTGAATTAGCTGTTATTTTGCTATTAAATTTTGAATTGTCCCATTTACTATTTAGAAGTGAATTATATTGGACAAAAATTACACGCTATTCCTTTCATTATAGCCACAATTGCTTGTTTTCATAATATGTTCGAACAATAAGTAATATAGTATAATGATACATCATTTTGTAATAATTGGTTTAAATAACAATTGTCCAGCTTCTAAAGCTAGACAATCGGTCTAAAATCCACTTCTAAAGCCACCACAAGAGAAATGGTAGTAAATTGATCATTTCTTGCTGGATTACTCTGTATAAATATTGACTTCAAAAACATTTTTGAAACAATGAAACATTTGCTTGTGGAGATATTTCCAACAACCACTGTTAGGATACTCGGAGTATCGACAATGAAATGTAGGGTCAAATGAGTTACAGCGGTTGTAGTTCACGGGTTAAATGCTAAACAAGGATGCACAGAGTTTCACCAAACATTCCATTGTTAATTTTCATTGAGCGCGGAAAGCCCCGGTTGCCGGAATTTCCGTGGAAGTCGCGGTAGTTCCGAACTTCTAATAGTGTAGAGATGAGTATCCTAACGGATGCGACCAGGCGGCTCAATGAGTTTTTTAACGAAAGCGATAACGTATCACAAAGTGCAAAGAATAAAACTTCTTTTTCCGGCAAAATTTTTTACCGATAATTAAAATCTATTTTAATCTTCTTCAAAATAATTTTCTCCATTTAAATTTAAAGAAATGATCATTTTTATGATGACAAGTAATCAGCTTTTTATTAAGAATAAACAGATTTTTATATGTGATGTACTATACAATTTTATAAAAATTATATATACCTAAGGTATTTTATTTCCATAATTTTCAAGGGATTGATGTGACATAATCTTAAAAATCTTTAAACAAGTTAAAATATTAATATTTAATATTTGTATGTATAATATTAATATTTATATCATTTTAATATTAATTAAATTTCATTATATTATAGAAATTCGCTAAGTAATTAAATGGATGATATATCGACATAAAATATAAAGTATCAATTATTTCAATAATTTATTCCAATAATCAAACAAATCTTATTTTTATTTATTGACGTAAGATCGGTATTATTACGTTTCAATCATCCTACTTTTGCTAAATATTCTATTTCGCATTCCATTGCGTATAAATATGCTAATTATAATTACATTATCGCAGAACGGAAGGCATTTTAACGTATATATTTTTTTCGTATAAGAATAGATTTAAAAAAAAACAAAATAATATAAAAAGCTGCGTTAAAATTTATAATATAATAATACTTTTATAAAGCGTAACATTATCGCCGCATTTTTATCATGATTTTCCACGCTGTTAGTATACAAGCGCGTTTGCCTATTCACTCGGATTTATACCTGAATATAATGTGATAATTAGCTTCTCAAGCGTGATTCTATCTTTGTGTCCTAATTTTCAGGTTTTATTCCGCGCAATAATCTTAAGTTTCCCCTAAAATATATCCCCGGGAAATTTAAAATATTATTAGTTCATCTTGCATCTTTAGAACACCTCTAGACTTTTGACAATAACGACTCCTTTTGTTTTATGCCATAATTTTAGGTTTGATTAAAATTTTACTGTAAAAAGTGACATATTTTTCTCATATAAAGACATGATTGTGTAAGATAAAATTATAACTTTCACAATATTAAATTTAAACATTTTAACTGTAATTTTATACTGCTTATAATTATTATTGCAAAATATATTGCAGAATTATTGCAATACATTAATGCAAATACGTTAATGCAAAATAAATGTTAAAATTTAATGAAAACCATGCTGCTATTTAAAAATTAAAGCGTGCTTTTGCTCCACGCATGCGGAGAGTGTGACCTAGCAATTTCGCGGAAATTTATTATGCAATAGGTTGCACGTTACAAAGTTTCCATTCGTCTCGGTTACTGCCCACTGCCGCTACACCGAGCGGCACAGAAACTTTAATTACTTATTTAAAAATGAGACACGACAGCTGTATTTAACGAAGCCTCGCTTCTGGTTTCCTGAGAAAGGCATGGCTGTCGAGTGGAATAGCTGCGTGGTTACATCGACATCCGTTCTCTCGCGAAGAGAGTTCATGAAATATTAGCGCGTCGGTATTCGCTGCACACGCCACTCAATGTGCTATAAAAAAAAAAAAAAAAAAAACAGCACCAAGGTACACTAGGCAGATGCGGGAAAACAGTATTGATTTATTACCATGCAATCGCGTGTTAATTATGCAAATCAGTGTTGACGTTGACTAATATTTACTTATATTCGAATGAAGAATTGTTACTTGTACTCGTTACGAATAATCTTGAATATCGCGTCGAATATGAAAAAAAAAATAGGATCCAGTGCGTATTCATAAAACAATTCAATTCGTACTGTGTCCTTACTATATGCATTATTAAGTCTCTCTTAGTCATCGTGAGAGAAGTGTAACGACGTTACATGTGCCACATGCAATTAAACATGAAATTATAAACTTGCGACATGGAAAAGAAAGTCGTGCATTTTTTTAAATATAAATATATTGTGCTGAATATATCAGAATCTCTTTTTCTCTCTCATTGATTAACTATGCCGATAGTACTGACGTCAAGTGATAAAAAATTCTGTATTCTGTCGGAAGAGTTGCGGTCGAGTGCAACTAAGTGGAGATAAATCGAAGCGCATGCATTTTTCATGAGTTACAGTACCTGGACGATCTTCGTCATTTCCTGCATATCGATAACGCCGTTGCCGTCAACGTCGTACATGCGGAACGCCCATTTCAGTTTTTCTTCTGGCGTGCCGCTGGACGTTACGTCGATCGCCAATAGGAATTCCTGCAACAAAAGCCGATGGTATCCAGTATCAGTAACGTTGTCGCAGCTGCGCGATATCAAAACTTTTATTTCTTCGCTACAAAGGAATCTCCCTTTTGTGTGAAACGAAAATCTATTTCCCAAGGTGTAGCTATGATACGCATTGAAGAAGACCCGACTTCAAGATGCCATAATTCAAGCAGCTTTGCTAAAGCTCTGGAAAATATTTACTTGAAATACAATGATTCGAGAAGAAATCAGCTAAGATCGTCTTAACATCAAAGATGAGTCGGTTGAGCGATTAAAATGTTAAGATCTAAACATTGATTTAAAGAAGTTTATTCAAATATTGAAAAGTAAAATTTCTTGATTCTTCAGGTATTTTCAAATCTTTAGAAATTAAAATGAGAAGACATTTCTCTGGATACATATATAAAATAAATTATTTCGCTTTCTTAATTTTTTCTTTCCACTTTCCAATATAATCGTAAAAGGAACAGTATAAAGGAAAATTATAGAAGAGCTGCTTAAGTATTAAATTTAAAAAAGTACTGAAATTATATAGATGATCTATCATAAAATACATATTTTGTATTGCATAAAGTTTTAATTCTTTTTCGAGAAATCTATTTTCTTGTTATATTATCGAAAAATAAAAAAGAGACATAAAATTTCAAGAAAATGCTAATATTTAAATATTGAAAAAAAATTAAAAAGTTTTTTAAGTAATTCCGATATTTCCTATAAGAACTCTCTGAGCTTTTTAAAAAAAATCGAAATGGTGTAAATATTTAATTTTTAATTTTTCTTTATTCTTATTTTTTATCCTATAGTTTTTACATTATTCTATAGTTTTTACATTATTCTGTACAATATTCTAATTTCATAACACTGCGAGATTTTGTGAGTTATTATAAAAGATTTTTTGAAATTTTAAACAATAAAAAATCTTGCATATCTTCTTGTCAATAATATTCTTAATATTCCAGAAATTTGTTATCATCATCTCGCATTACCGGCGAATATACCGTCTTGAAGTTATGGTTCCTTTTACGAGCGTCATGTCTTCGTCGCGTGTTACCGGGCCAAAATCGCGTAAGCGTAAAGCTCGTGATACGATGTTACAATGGCGGCTGTGATCGTGTCAGATGAATTTGTCCGGTGGAATCCACGCGGGTATTCTCGCCCCAGGCCGATACTTTTCGAGTACTACCGAGTCGTTAGAGAGCCAGTACGTTCCGGCAGAACTGGGTCACCTGACGCCCGAGGTAGACAAACGAGACGAGGGCTTTATAGGACGAAGAGAGGGTGGATGGAGGGCGAGTCGGCTCTTTGCTCTTCCTGACCTCTGAAGTGTCACTTCTCGTATTGACCTCAGAGAAAAAGAGAAAGAGAAAGAGAGGGGAAAAAGGAACAGACCATTTCCCTTCTGAGACTAGCCTTAGGCTCACACTTATTTCAGATGCAGCTTACCCGCGAAGCTCGCGGAAGAACTCTCGTGGAAAAGCTCTGACATTACTGGAGAAACGACGACCGATACCAGAGAGAGAAAACATCTTTGTGATGCCATTAACTGGCTTTACACCATGCTCATGAAAATGGACGCGAGGTGAATATATGAGATTGGAGCGAAGTGGTTTTCCTGAGGTAAAGTTTTCTGAATAACACTCGCAATTGGTATTCCCAGAGTAGACATTAAAAACAGTTATTTCGAATGCATAAAGCAATTATGCAATCAACTGTTTCGATAAAATTAATTTGTGTCGAATTTGATAAGTGTATTGAGAAATTACATATAACGTGTGAAAAAGATTTTAGAGTTTAAACTTTAAAAGACATTTATTACTTTATTGAACTTTAAACCTTTTTAGTAATTCAAAATCTTAAAAAACTCTTTTATTAATTATATATAAATCCTACATATTTATGGATATTTTCATTACCGACAATTATGAAATAAGATTATTTTATTACTAAGAAAATTATTTTTCATTTATGACACAATTTAATAAAATGAAACAAGGATTAGCTTAGTCATAATTAATATGTTCCTGAACATAGATTAAGTCTAAAATGTTATAATATTTAAATAACGCATCATCAAGATCAATAAATTGATGCCCATAAATTTATTTATGATTACTTTATCTCATAAATTACTTCCTATAAACTATAATAACTTATCTAAACAACTTGATATTCAAATTATTTTAAAATTATAATATAACAATAATTATTATTCAGAGTCAGTTATATGGCTTCAGGCAGAGCGTGATGTGGATATGGAAAAAGTTACAGTACTTTGATCGGGAATCCCCACATCGTTTATGTTAAGCTAAGAAAGTTAAGGCACAGGAAATCGAAAGAACGCGTGGGTCGCACAATTTCCGACAGTCATTAATTTGATTTGTACGTTACACGCCACTTTAGTTTATGTATCAAATTTATCATCTAAAGCTCGTAATAGGTTCACGCAACCATTTGATATATAAACTTTCTTCATACTCATTTAAAAAATGAATAATGGCGATCGAAAACAGTTTAACAGAGAAATTTTATTAAGTTAAGACGATTCCTATTAAATCACACATTACAAAATATTAAAATATATAAAGTTAGTACTATCATCAAAACAATCGACTTTTGATGTGTAAAAAATATGTTCATTAAGAAGAGAGAGAAGAGAAATTTTAAATATTTTGTTTATATGCTTATTTTAACATCTCTCTGCAGTCATTTAATAATTTCATTTTATATACTTTTAATTGTAATTTTGAATTAACTAGATATAAATAATTTTTTGTAAAATAAAAAACAAAAATATGTATAATTTATACATATAACAAAATCTATATCTTATTCCAATAAAATCTTTTATGAAATTTATAATTTTAGACAGAGTTATATGAGTTATGTCTAGATGTTTAATATTAAGACACAAACATTGTTAAAAGGTTTCCTTTTGTGTTTTTATTTATTTATCAACTCTTTGGAATGCAATTTCTTCAAAGTACGGAAAATCCAAGATATATATTTCTTGTTTGTTACTTGAAGCAATCTGAAACACAAAAGCATTCTATGGTCTTTAATTGTGATAAAATGTTTCTTTGGCTGCGAGTCTTCTTTTGACTGCATTTTTACGTCTTGAAAACAAGCATCTAATCTCGAAGTCGATATAATTAATAAAAAATAGCTATACAGAGTGTGTTTTAAGAAAAAACATACAGGTTCTCCCGCAAACTTATTTTAATTTTTTACATTATGTTTTTAATCACAAAAATCGTGTACTGCATTAAAGTTTTTTTTGCGCTGTCGCGGATTCACGCTTTGTGTGCCATTAGAAAGTGTGAGTAATAAATTTAAATGCATACGTATATATTTGTGTGATGTATATATACCATATATCTATACATTGTATCTATAATATGTTTATATACAACTAAGTTGCGTATGCAGAAAGATCTGTTGATATGATTTGCGCATTGAATGCGAATAATTTATATCTTTTAATCTATAATTTTCGCATGCGAATTGTAAATGTATGTACTGTAAGTATACAAAAAATTCATTTTATAAGAATTATATAAAAAATATTTATAGATAAAAATAATTATTTATAATTATATCTTTATAAAAAATATAATACTTTAAATTGAGAAGCGCCATAACGGTCAGAAAGTTAAGATGTTGAACTATTGTAAATTCATTTAAATGAATAAATTGAATATAAAAAATAATTATAAAGATACGTCAGTTTAAAAATATGAAACTTATCCTTGCTCGTAGAGAGGTAAGAATGCATTTGGTTTTCATGCTTACCACCCTTAAATTATGTAAGTTACGATTCATGTATACTATTATTTCCGTAGTTATGTTCTACAAACTTTATGCGTTCAACACTTAGCTGTTAAAAGTTTAAAGCAATGTTTTGTCGTGTAAAGTAAAAACAACGAGTGAATGCAGTACAAAATACGGGAAGGACGTACGTTTCAAAACGAACTAAGCAACTTCGAACATTGAGAAATGTACCTTCAAACACGAATGTTCCAAAGTGGATTTTCAAAATGGATCCTGATGACCAACGCTAATGGAAATGCAATCTCAGAAGGATCGCGATCGAGGACTTTTTAAGAAAAAGAAAAAGGTCAAGCCTGTTCATGATTCAAGGACGGACATAAAAGTACAGAAAAGCTTTTTGTAAAACATACACTTTTTTCTAACGTGATGTATGACCTTTTACTTTACTACAACATAAAAGTGAACATCCTAAACATTTTATATTATGTAACTGTATTCAATAAAACTCAAAATTCTATCAAGAAATCTTTAAAATGTTTCTAATAATTTTAATTTTACAAATAAAATCATGACCGTATTATAGGTAAATAAAAATCCTTTAAAGCTATCGCAAACGCGTAACGCGAAACTTAAACTCGTAAATATTTTCATTTTTAGACCGCGTATGTGAGAGACATAACCGATAAATAAGAGCCCTATACGGTCGAAGCTAGATCTTAAAATACTTTAAATAAATCAATCTTGAATTACTAAATATGATATATATGTACTTGACATATATACCACAATTATCGTAAATATTTGTTCTAAATTTTTTGCCAACAGTATGTTTTGTGATTATTTTATTCTATTATACATAATAATTTGAAAATTACATTTTTCTAGTTGTTACACTTTTGAAACTGAAAGAATGATATGTAGAATTAATGTACATATATATATATATATATAATTGAGAAAACTATTTTATAATTATATTACAACTACAAAATAGTTTATTGAACTACTATATATTAATTCCACATAATATAAAAATTGTATAATTTTTTTGTCTATATCTACAGTTGCTACCATTATGTTTTTCTCTGTAATTGATCCCATTTTAATTATTACAATTTTGTAACATGTGCAAATGTAACAAAGCAGTAGGCTGATTGAAGTAAATTGATTCTTCCTGGGTATTTTGATATTAAATCAGCGTAAAGATAGATTTGATGGATTAT